GACCAGTTAACCCCCCCCTCCCCCCCCCCCCCCCCGGCCAAGCTCACCGCAATCGCCACCAAGATTGCAATTTTCCGCTTGCCCTTTCCCTCCTCCTTCCCAAAAAAAAAAGATGTAGTTCACGTACTTTTGCTCTTTAATTCCTTTAATAGGTTGGAAGCTGTAAAAGTTATTCCTTGTGAAAGAATGGAGCTCAAAATAGTGTATTGGAAACTACTCCTGCTAACACAAAATTCCAAAATAATGATAAGGTTACCCCTGTAGATCACAAAGGAAAATCCGCAATCTAGTCTTTGTTGGTGCCATGACTACTAAATCATTGTACTTGATAACATCAGCAATTATATCCAAATTCAAATCCATGCCAATCACAGCTCCCTGGAAAACCTTGCTTTGACAAATTAGAAAGGATTTTTTTTCCTTCGAAAATATAAAGGCAACTATAAAAGATCAATATTATACGTATAGTTGCACCAATTTATTATTCTTCTGTATGCTGGTGGAGAGAGAAACCAATGTTGCCTGATATTCGTTAAAAGGATACGACCAGAATAATTCGTCGTTTAATGAATGAGTTAGCAGTTTTGCATTACTACCAGTGGAAAGAAGTTCAAACATTCGAAGTAATGTCAGCGTTGCATGCTCATTAGTTCCAATTGAAATCATCTGTAATGAATAAGTTACCACTTATCGATTGACCAAATCCGCCCACACAAAGTAATCCATATTAATACAGTGAATCATTAGTTTAGTGCTATAGCTGAAAAAAGTGCAACACCTTTCCTGGTATTATCGTTTTGTTCAAGGCTGCCTTCAACTTTTTACCAAGTGATTGTTGGTATTTTGTGAAATTCATTTCCGCGATGCTTTTCAAAAATTCATATGACCAAAGAAGCGGCGTTCCATCACCTACAAATAAAAGTTTCAAAATAGTTGTGAAAAGTAGCAAGAGAAACCTCTATATTTCCATTTGAAACTGGGGTTAAATTTGAATTAATTTTTACTTCATCTAACTTCACCGCTAAGTGCAGCACCATCTTTATAAGTGCAAAAATAATTTCCGAAATCTACCGCAGTGAAATAAGAATAGGATCTTTCTCCCCAAAAGATGGTTGACATCGCGAACGATCTTCGAAGTAAGATATACAAGTAGAATTTAAAACGACTTATGCATTACACATTTTAGTTCCAATTTAATAATAAATTAACTAACTTACCTACTGCACTAAGATTTGAATTATTAGAGAAATAAGAGATAAGTCATTCCTACTCGAATCACAGACAACTGATTGTTCATACCTAAGTGTCAAAAAAAATTTACATACTATCGCATAGTGCCAGAGCATTAATTTTTATGCGAACACTCGCTTCCTGAACTATTTCCGCCACAGCGTTTAAAACCGAAGCTGCTTCACCTAATTCTGACATTACACCTCGGCTGATGTAAAATAGGATATTATGATGGTATTCATTTTTGCCATTTTCTCTGTCAAAAGTTTCTTCCTGCAAAAAATGAATCCCAAATCAAGACAAATAAAGAGATCGAAGAATGTTCTTGAATGAAAAACTATAGAGTAAAGTCAGAAAAAATATGATAAAATGAACAATTTTGAGATTTCTAATAATTCTGTGTTCTGAAGTCCCAAAATCGTTTATTTTATTGTTTTTTTTTTTTCAGACTGAAGAAAAACATAAAAGATTATAAATTCCATGATCTAAGATTTGTGGTATAGAAACTGTATCGAGATCTGAAAAAACAGGATAAAGGAGCTCACTGATTCATAGCAGTAAGGTTTCAAAATTAAAGTAAGAAAAGTGTAAGTCTGCAAAGCAGTGAGTTTCATCGCGAAAACGCAAAAGTGAGTTTCACCGTGTGAGTGCAAAGCAGTGAGTTTCACCGCGAAAAAGTTTTGTAGAACGATTTCTCATTTTTATGCGTCTTAGTAAATTTTATTTTTAATTTTTGAGCATATTGATTTAAAAAAAATGCTCTGCTTACCTCAACAAACAATCTGCAGGCCATCTGAATTGCACTGGTATGTGAATATGCTTTTTGATCACCTCGTTCAAGTGTTTCTATAAATGATGTCATTACTGCAATCTGCTCATTCGTTACACCCAAGAAATTTTGATTTTCGCAAGCTTTGATATTATGTGTTCCATTTGATACCACCACCATGTACCTGCAGATTTTCAATGTTGAAATTTTATTTGAGCAAACGGATGTTTATGCTCTTTTCAAAATACTCAGTGCATGAATAGAATCTCGTATGAAATCCAATCTGGAATCAAACCAAGAAATAAGGCTAGTTGTGGTAAGGTAATGTCGCACTACACACTTCCATAAAGCTTCGAAGTAAAACCAACATAGTGACATATGTTGGTTAGATGATGACTACCCATCAAGAAGATTACGTAAATCAGGAGAGCAGCTGCGAATAATTAAAAGAGACTTCTCATTAATTGTTCGGATACACCTGAGATGCACGTGAGACAATTCACCCGTCTGTCATTCCTCATCACAGATGTTTAATATTAACATGCTGCAGTTAGTAGTTTTAAGTGCTTTACGACACATAGAAATAAACAATAAACTGGAAGGTAAAATTGAAATTCCAAAAAATCAACAGAAATCGAAACTTACCTATCTCCAGGAACAGCACCATCAAGAAGGATCTTAGCAACACTCTTTGCTTTAGCTACATGTACATCGGAAAGCAACGTTCCTGAAATATATGAAGATTAAACTATCTGAATACAGATTAAATTCCTAAGCATGCCAATTTCCCGAAATGAGTGACATATTAAGTCTTAGAAATCAACGAAGTTGGAAACCCACCAGGAAGGATTCTATTTTATATTTACCAAACCATCAGTTTATTTGCTCGAAGGGATATTTCTGCTGTAAGATTTTATCAATATGTTGCAAAGATATTAATATCAACATCAAAAAGAGTAACTTTATTCCGGTTAGTTTCAGTATTATGCCAATAATACCAAATTTGCCTAGAACAGATTAAATCTTTGGAACATTTCAACTTCCATTCCTTTTTAGAATTAGGTATTTTTGACAATGCATGACGCAGATAGAGAATACTTGCCAACTTTTTTACCTATTATTCGCCATCTCTCTCACTATTCACCTGTAAATATACCGATAAACTTTTACAAATAAACAAACCTGTATCGATAAGAATTACGACACGTCGTTTGTGAGGTAAAGCGGCAGCAAGAAATGGACCCCAGTGTCTTCGTTTATGAACTGGTAGGGCATGTGCCGGATATTCGATATGTGGTCCACTAGTACCAATAATATACTGCCAACGAATTGCACAATCAAGTGCGTTCGTATGTAAAACTAAATGCAAAAAGTTGTAAAGTATTTTATCAGTTAATTAGTACTCATTAATCCATAAATTACCGTAAATCTGACCATCAATAATAGAACCATTAGTTGGGTGGTTATGGATTGTTAAGGTCATAAATAGCACACATGCAGCGAGATGTTCTTAGAACCAATCTTCTAGGATATACTGCAATAAAATGTCTATCCATTCAAATTAAAACATAAAAGTTTCATGTTACCTGATGTGAGATTCTTCTCGGCGTAATACAAGAATCTTGATGATTGTTTGGCTGATATCAAGCATGCAGTGGTCATGTTTACACGTGTACCAAATTGTTCTTCATAGCTTAAGATAGCTCAATTAACAACGTTAGTTGATAGTGGGAAAAATTAATTGGTCTTTTTTTTAGCGGTTGTAGCGGAGGGAAAAACCAAATAAGTACAGATTACATGTACTGCAAATATAGTAGGCTAAGGCATTTTTCAAACGTATAACAAGTAATAATGCTGACTGTATTAAGCAACGAAAGTAATTTAAATTAGCCAAAACCTACTCAGTTTATGGGGTCAAAAGAAACTCTCACCCTATAAACAACACACCTCAAATATCCCGGTGTAATCCGTGCGCATTCCGTCATTGATCTATAGTCACGAAAAGTGATCCAATCTCGTTGCGAACCGCTTGAAATATATTTTTTTGTTTCAATTAATAAATTGGAATACTTCGCAAGCTGTACATCAAGTCGATTCGTTATATCACGTACTAGTGAAAAATTAAGAGCTGTCTTTTTAAAATCCAATCCATCGATAATTGACTACAAATGAATCAGCAATAGACAAGCCAATTAATTGGTACTCGTGTTACAATAATACACTGAACATTTAGGGAAAAACAAACTCTTTACGTATGAATTATACCTGTCATCCATGTAAACTTCAAGATCTAATTACCACTTGGAAGTGATGAAATGACAAAATTGATAAAACTAAACGTTCACCTAGGATTTTTAAATTCCTTATTTGTTTTTGTTTAAAAAGAATACATAGTCCTTTCTGTTCATTAAGCAGACAAGATGAAGGATTATTGATAAACTTAACGAAAGCCGCACCTGTATGACAGGTACTCCGAGCAGTTCATTAACCTGTAGTCGATGCGCTTTATACAATTGGTCAGCTGTAAAATGCGCTGCAAGTGTGATATAATTTTCACGTATGATATCCTGATGTTGGTGATACATTGCTGTAATTGTGACAAAAGCCAAAATAACTGATGCAATCACTCGAACGAAGTAAGGATGCATTGAAATAAATGTAGAATGATTATCAATCGTAACAGATGAATAATATAGTAAGTCGATTTGATCCATATTTTGATAACACAGATCTTGTAGTATTATAAATTGTTATCCTTCGATTCATTTCGCACCTGAAATAATGAAGTACAACATTACTTAATACCTTCCGAGTAGACCAATTTTTTAAAAGAAACCAATCATAATTGAACAATCTTTTACTTTAATTCTTAATTAATAAACTTACCCTCTATTGCTTGGTTACTTTCCAGTGGTAATTTTGGTTATAATCAAAAAAGATCGCGCAGTATAATTTGTAGGAAATGTTCTGAATTGGTTAAATTTACTACTTT